ATGTTTCATAGGTATCGTTACCATGGTTACGAAGTGGACATTTGTGAATAATTAAAAAACGGCTTGTAATATTTTCTAGCAGTTAAAATTGCAAATAAAATAGTTAAACCGTATACAATCATTTACTTTGTCAGATTCTTGAAGAAAAAAAACCGTTAAATTCTAATTTCACCACGGTTAGCATGGTAGAGCAGTTTAAGGTTGCATATTTTGTATTTAGTTTATACTGATGTTAAAGTATTGACATGTACAATTAACTGAATCACTTATTTCTCACTTCTCACCATTATTTGAAAAAGGCCCAGATACTATTTAGAATGAAAAAAGTTTAATTGAACAAATAAAAAAGTATTTCACAAAATTTCATGTAACGAATGAATATTAAGAAAATACGTTAACAAATTAAGAAACGGCATTTACACATTTTAAAGAAGTTACATTTCACAAATCAAGAAATGTAGAAATCAGAGTCATGTAACGGATGGAAAAATATGAATGATTCGTTCATTGTTGAAGACCCTACATCAACTGTCAAGATGAAGAACAGGAATAAAATTCCTGTTCATTGATAATTTTCTGTGTTTTCTATGTATTGTGTGCGATTTTGTCCCATGTACATTTACTCCATATCTTTTCATTTTCTATGTAATGATGTTACCAAGGATTTGTATAGTTACTATACCTCCCCCCTTGTTACAAGTAATTTTTTACATCTTTTTTGAATGAGCTTGTACTTGAGGTCAATTTTTTCAGGGATATTGATTCACTTGATGCTTTTGTCCATGTTAACTTTTTTGTAGAACTAATTGTTATTTTTACTGTTTCTCTCTATGCATTATAGTATTTAAAAAATGAAAACAACGTCTTATAAATTTCATGAGTACAAAGCGCTTTTCATGATTTACTTCCACCAGGCCCCCCTTTTTGTGGAAAAAATTTGGTTGATTATATAGGGAATCACTGAAGCATGACTGGAGCAGGCCCCCCTTAGGTCAGACAGCTCCCCCCTTATGAAAAGTTCTGGATCCGCCACTGGGCTGATCATAAAATTGAGAATGGAAATGGGGAATGTGTCAAAGAGACAACAACCCGACCATAGAGCAGACAACAGCCGAAGGCTACCAATGGGTCTTCAATGCAGCGAGAAACTCCCGCACCCGGAGGCGTCCTTCAGCTGGCCCCTAAACAAATATGTATACTAGTTCAGTGATAATGGATGTCATACTAAACTCCAAATTATACACAAGAAACTAAAATTAAAAATTCGTAAGGGTTCCACGGAACCCAGTGTCTCGCCAATTTTTGCTGTTAATCGCAGGCTCAACAAAAATGAGGGAAAAAAAATAAAAATATTCTTTTCGATACTATCTTTTGATTGTAAGAAGCTTCTGTCCAAGTTTAGTAAAATCCAGGATAGTTTAAGAATCTAATAAATGTTTTAAAAACTTTAACTGCAGACTGTATTTAATGTTAACTGGAAGAAAAACTAAGTCCATTTATAAGTAAAATACGGAAAAACAGGAACAAAATTTCCTTCTAGATACTAGCTTTTGATCATTAACAAGCTTCTGTCCAAGTTTGGTACAAATCCAGGATAGTTTAAGAAAGTTATTAAAATTTTAAAAACTTTAACCACAGAGTGAATGTAATGTTTCCTGGCAGAAAAACTAAGTCCATTTATAAGTAAAATACGGAAAAAATGGAATTTTTTTTTTACAAAATTTACTTCTGGATACTATCTTATGATCATAAACAAGCTTCTGTCCTAGTTTGGTAGAAATCCAGGATAGTTTAAGAAAGTTATCAGAATTTTAAAAACTTTAACCACAGAGTGAATGTAATGTTTCCTGGCAGAAAAACTAAGTCCATTTATAAGTAAAATACGGAAAAAATGGAATTTTTTTTTTACAAAATTTACTTCTGGATACTATCTTATGATCATAAACAAGCTTCTGTCCTAGTTTGGTAGAAATCCAGGATAGTTTAAGAAAGTTATCAAAATTTTAAAACTTAAACCACAGAGTGAATGTAATGTTTCCTGGCAGAAAAACTAAGTCCATTTAGAGGTAAATTACGGAAAAAATGGAATTTATTTTTTACACAATTTACTTCTGGATACTATCTTATGATCATAAACAAGCTTCTGTCCTAGTTTGGTAGAAATCAAGGATAGTTTAAGAAAGTTATCAGAATTACCAGAGTGAATATTTGTGAACGCCGCCGCCGCCGACGGAATGTAGGATCGCTATGTCTCGCTTTTTCGACAAAAGTCAAAGGCTCGACAAAAATGATACAAGACTAACAAAGACCAGAGGCTCCTGACTTGGGACAGGCGCAAAAATGCGGCGGGGTCAAACATGTTTTTTGAGATCATGGCTCAACCCTCCCCCTATACCTCTAGCCAATGTAGATCAATGTAGAAAAAACAAACGTACAACAGTACGCGCAGTAAAACTCAGTTTAAGAGAAGTCCGAGTCCAATGTCAGAAAAGGAAAAAACAGAAAATAAACCGAAAATGACAATAATACATAAATAACAACAGACTACTAGCAGTTACTGACATGCCAGCTCCAGACCTCAATTAAACTGATTGAAAGATTATGTCTTCATCATATGAATATCAGGCATGTATTATAAAAAAACAGATGATTTTGTGCATTTTTCAAACGAAAAAGCTTGAGGAAACCCTTGGCCGCAAATTAGGATCCAAAATGTTCTGTGGCTAAAAGTTGCCAATGATGAAATTGAATCCCTAGACACAAAAAATTTCTGGATCATGGATGGAGGCCAAAGTAAATTATGTTGGTAAACTGTTGACACAGAGATATGTCTTGTTTTTTAATTTTTTTTTATAATATTATGCAAATGTTGAAATCAAAATGGCAATATTTAAACATGTTAACTTTGCAAAATATTCAAGTCAATGAACCTTGACTGCTAAGGAGCAGGGCAAATTAAGCTCCATGGAAATAATATGTGACAATGCTCAAACAACTGCATACCAAATATCATCGACCTACCACTAGCTGTTCCCCATAAACTGACCTAATCGCAAACTAATACATGTTTACTAAGCAAAAATTTCAAAGTCAATAGACCATGACTGAGGGGGCGGGTCAAATAATCTCCATGGAAATAATATGTGACAATGCTTATACAACTGCATACCAAATATCATTGACCTAAACTGGACCTAATCACAAACTAGTATATTGTTGACACTGCAACTGACACCGCAACTTATACCACAGTCAGGAACAGTACACGCAAGTCTGTTTTTTTTATACTTTGTCAAGGTGAGGAAAAAGCTTTCAAGAATTATTGAAAATTTGACCAAGACTGACATTACAACACAAATAATGCATATTTGAGGGGCCATTCCTTTCTTTTTTAATGTGATGTGCCAAAAAGAAGTTATTTTGTATTAATAGTTATATCCTAACTATTTCTATGTGAAATTTGTAGTATTTTGGCCTGATTAAAAAAAAACAAAAATTCTGGCCTTATAGTAAGTTTCACCAGAGATTTTTTTTAAAAGTTTACAACAAGGGTAGCCACGTGACAATAAAAGCTAATTTTCAGCAGAAAATGCACTACACAATCTATACCTCCAAATTAGCACATGTGAAACCACATAATTATACAAACTGACCACTAAAAACACAGCAAAAAATCTCATTTGTGTACAGAGCACAGTGTAGCATGAAGGAACATAAACAGACCAAAAAGGAGTTACAAAAAATAATTTTAAACCAAATGTACTCATTGTGTGCTTTGAAAAAATTGTACAATGGTTCACAATTTTGTAAAACTTGTCTGATCCTATTTATATCCTGGACCTGAAATAAAATAATCATATACTTAACGTAACCAAGTGATTGAAATAAAATCCTGTGAAACACCCTTCAGAAACCTCTTTCCAGTGACCTGCATTTGCCATCCAGATTTGGCAAACTAGATCTAAGATATCTAGAGATCAGATACACCTAGCTGCTTGCAGAAAACCATCAAAATGAACCTTGAACTGTATTTGATGATCCATGATATTGTGTACAATTTCAAAGCATCAATTTGGTCAAATTATCCAGAAATTAAAGAAATACCATTTTTTAAGGTAATCTAAGGGCATTACTATTGAATGGGAAATGTGAAAAACATCAAAATCTAACTTGACCTGACTTCATGGTCTATATGACTGTTTTTTTTTCAAGTGTTTGTTCTCAAGCAGTATAGTCAGTACCAGAAAACCAAATTTTTAGGGTATCTTGGGGCACATTTCTCTTGAATGGTAAATGTCAAAACCATATTAAAAGCAAACTAGACCTGTGTTCATTTCAACAGATTTGGTAAAGCAGTATTGTCATGGAAACCCAGATTTTAGCGGTAAATAAGGCATTTCTTGTTCAATGTAAATGTCAAAACCATCAAAATCAAACTTTTCCTGCATTTTATGGTCCATGACATTGCCTTGATATATTTTAATATATATATACATGTATATATATATAAAGTGCCTAGAAAATCAACCTAACAATGTTAGAGTAGATCTGATTCTTTACATCCTCCCTGACTGGGTCTGGAACCTGTACTTTTCAGTTCATACTTCTACGACAACACCGACAACACCGCCTAGGATTGCGCAGATGCCTCATCTAACTATAGCTGATTATATACTATATATAGTATCATAACTTCTTTCCCTCAAATAAATAGGCTCAACAAAACAAATGTTTGAATTGTTTTACAATTGTCATTTCGGGGGCTTTTATAGCTGACTATGCGGTATGGGTTTTGCTCATTGTTGAAGGCCGTACAGTGACCTATAGTTGTTAATTTCTATGTCATTTGGTCTCTTGTGGAGTGTTGTCTAATTGGCAATCACACCAGATCTTATTTTTATATATTCATACTGCCAATAACCCAGACAGCTTGAAGGACATAGGATTCTTTCCACTAAATACATTTAACCTAACTACTTAAAGAAAAACACAACACAAACTTATGTTTTTTGACTAGCTCGAGTACTGCATATTGTGAGCTGTCGATTTAATAAGACAAATTACACACTATACATTATACAATATGAATTCAATAACTTATACTAGAAAAATAATCTCATGTCAACCTTTTGCATTTGAAAAACTGAATAATCTCATGTCAACCTTTTGCAGTAAAAAAACTGAATAACTACATTTCAATGTTCCGTGGCCAACCAGGAAAAACCCATTTTAGGAAACCTGTGTCCTTTTGTCAATGCCAGCGAAACTCTAAGTGTAGGACCTCACTCCAGGAAATGAGTAAAAGAAAACATAATTTTGTTTGAATATATGTAAGTAAAAAGAAATCTTGTCATTAGGACTACGGCTATAAAAAATTTGGTACAAAAGTCGAAATACGATTACGTTTGTATAGCCATTCCACCTTCATGAAAATTAATTTAAAAAATACAAAATTATGCAAATCTTTGTTCTCTTAAAGATCCTTAAAAAAAATACAATGTTCACAGTACAAATTTCAGTTCACTTTATAACCTAATTTTTGGTGCTAAAATTCCTACGCCTACATGTATTACATGCGTGCAAGAAGACAATCAATTCCTGTTATACTTATATGCCTTGGGAATTTTTTATTATTAAAAACAACATACATGAATATAACTCATAAGCATAAAAATATATGATAGATAACCTAAATAAAATCATTATAACTGCAGGCGACTTAGCCTTAAAAAAGAAGAAAACTATGAAAAAATATTAAAAGAAAGTTAATAACAGAAAGCAAAAGTTATGGTATGATTACAGTCTTAAGAAAATAAAACAAGAACTAGATCATAAATGCAATCGATTGCAAAAGTATAGCAATGACCAATACATTAGAGGGTCATATTTTAAATGCCTAAAACATTACAGAAAAACGAGAAAAGATAAATGTAAGTTTAAAGAGTTATTTCTTTAATAAGCTAGATAATCTTAAAAATGAAAATCCTATTGGAAATTAGTTGAAAAATTAAAAGGAGATAACAATGATAAAAAGGAAACAAATATCAGTTTGGAAGATTGGGAGAATCATTTTAAATCCCTAAATAAAACTACAATTGCTGAAAATGATACAATTCTGCAGGAGCTTAATAATTTAGAAAAAACTAATATTTTTAATGAATTAAGACTTTCAAGATTACAGAGTCTGAACTACTAAAAGCTATTAAATCTTTAAAGAATGGCAAATCCTGTGGATTAAATATGATACTAAATGAAATAATTAAGTACTGCCAATCAATTTTTAACCCACTATTTTTAAAAGCTTTTAATAGATTTTTTTCTGCAGGAATCTATCCTAAAATATGGCCAAAGAGAATATTTCAACTAGACATAAAAAGGGGTCAATATATGATCCTTCAAACTATAGAGGTATAACAATAAGTGACACTATTGGTCAACTTTTTAACAGAATATTAAATAATAGACTGACAGCCTTTTTTGAGAAGAAAAAACTCATTTGTAAAGAGCAAATTGGATAAAGAGGATGTAGTACATCTGATCATATGTTTGTAATAAATACTCTTATACAAAAATACATCAGAAATAAATCCCAACCATTATATGCATGTTTTGTAGACATTAAACGTGCATTTGACTCTGTATGGCACCTAGGACTTTTCTATAAGCTTAAAAAAACTGGTGTCAGTTCAAAATTTTATAATATACTTAACAAAACAAAATACATTATCATATTCAAATATATAAATTTGAAACTCTTCTTCAGACTGGCAGTGGGGCTTCTGTTTGGAAGTGCAGGATGTATGAATTCGCAGCCATGTCCGGTCAGAATGGGGACGTTAAATCCAATGCCTTGTGTAGAGTGCCAAGCTGTATACATGTTAATAACCTTTGCAATAACTCCGAGGGATACGGAGAATTAATCAAACAATTATATCCTTCAGCCACAGTAATAGTTATCTGAAAAAGAAATAGACACTTTTCAATTTTCTGTCATATTTTAAGAAACTGAAATAGGCAACAAATAGCAAACTGGGAATTACAATTAAAGGAGAGAAACTTTCCAAAATAATCATTTTTCCCTTCCTTAAACTTGACATGTCCTTCCAGAAAACATTAAATTGTAATAAGATTATAAAAACCATGGGAATTTACAAGATCTTAAATAAAAAAGTTTATAAATCTATATAATAGTTCTTTCTTACCTTTAAAATTCAACTCCAATGGCCATTTCCAACATCAATCTGTAAGGACAAGCTGTAATGCTAACCTGAAATATATAATGCTTAGTCATTCAAAATAGTTAGAAAAGAATCTTTGTTGCTATACTTATGTTCATTTTATAGAAATAGGTGATATATAACATATCAAGGTAAAAGACGATGCAGAGAACACATCAATGTGACGAAACCCAACAACACAAACAAATATGACTTCTATGTAATCAATTCAAATCTTTTAAACATTTACATGAGGACTTTGTCCCCAATAACAGTGGGAAAATCAATAAAACAAAAAATAAATATAAAAATACAAATGTAATCAAAATAATTAACTTTTTTACTTTCCCGCATTTGTGCAGAAATCTTTTCTCTTCTTGTTAACAACTCACAATGGCAAACAATCCTACCAAGTTTGAGAGCTTTCTGTCAAATGGTCTTAGGAGTTGCATTCATGTCACGGTTATAAAAAATCGGCCAATCCCACTTCACACTTGGACCCCCATGAGACCACATGCCAGGCTTCTGTCATAAAAACTCACAGGCGTAACAAAATTCAAGGGCATTTACATAATCTGTAATCAACAAGTTCATAAATCTATGCAATGGTTCTTTCTTACCTTAAAAGTCAGCTCCAATGATCATTCTAAACCTCAACCCATACTGAAAAGCAGTAATTATTGCTAGCCTGAAAAAGTAAAATGCTTAGTCAATAAAAATTCTTAAAAAATAAATAGAATCGGTGTTGGAATATTGCTTGCATATTATTGTGGATTTCTTTATTTTCTTGGGCACCAATTTATTTTATATTAAGGAACAATTGTATTTTTGTGGGTACTTCTTTTCGTGGTTTTGCCAAAGTCTGCATACAAAAATTAAGTCTTTACAATGACATCTATGTAACCAATTCAAATCTTTAGAACATTTAGTCAAGAAAAAAACAACATTTTACCTCTTACAACTTTAAGCCTTGAGCACATTTTATTTCCTTTAAACTTATTTTACAATAATAAAAGGAATAGGCCTGGTAAGACCCCTTTTTGGCCCCAAAATATAGCATTTTTACAAATTTGTTAAAATGTAAACTTTTAGCTATTTATTGCAAAGAAGAATACTTCTGTTCCATTAATATGGGCTGATTTTGTCAATACAATGCACATGCATCGGGTAATAACATCAGAAATTCATGCAATATTACTGAAATCTTCACAATTTTGGCATTCGTGCTTATTTTACGATGGTTTTTGTTTAAAATGGAAGTGGCCGCATTTGTGTTCCGTCTTAATATTTAAATATATGTTGTATTTGATGATAATACATAACATATATAAAGGTTGAGACTGAACACAAATGCGGCCACTTTCATTTTAGACAAAAACCATCTGAAAAGTGACATTTTATGGATTATTTGATAGATTTTTCGTATTTAAGCCTCTATTTGAGTGTCTTTAATGACCAAATCAGTCCAAATCTTTTACATACACTAATTGAATCGACTGAAGTAGACACTTGCGTGTTTAAAAAATGTCAAAAATCTTTCATTAGATGTACTTCGAATATTAGGCCAAAACGAGCCCTTACCAGACCTTCTCCTTTGTTTAAATAGAGGAATTATATACCTACTTGTATATTAGAAATATTATACCACCAAGTCTTACTCCCCATTCATGAAAACATTGGCACTAATATAACCTAAAAAGGAATTAGAATTGACACAAATTATATATTTTACAAATCTGTTAAATTGCCAACATTTTTTTTTTAAATTCTGTATTCTAATTGCATAATAGTGAGTTATCTCCCACTGAAAGAAACATTCTTGCTGTTTATTGTACTAGTCTCCCCTTGAAGGATAAAATTCTATCTCAGGATTTACTTTTCACGTTATAAAATTTTATTTGTGTACCTGGAAAACATTTGTCAAACTGATAAATTATCTATTTCTGTGTTGTAAATGTGCAAAATAAGAAAAATGTGTGTTGCCTTATGTACTTTATCACATTTTTCTAGATAATGTGCAGAAATTGGTTGGCTTAAATATACTTACGTTATTTCTTTCATGTCATGGCCTCAGACTTGGGTGAAGATTAATGTAATAATTAATCTTCCTTGGAGCTTCAATATAGAAAGAAAAAACTGGCATTAATGGCAGCGAACATCATTGGTCAATTGCCCTTTTAGACTATATATCATTCATTATTTTCATTTTAAATAGTAATGAAGACAGTTAAATGATATAATAATTATTTCCAAAATTAATGTGTGCTTCGAATTATCAGAAAATGGTAGATAAGTTAACCAAAACAATCTGATGTGTACATTTTGAACAGAAATGATTAAAAATTAACTGAATTTCAAACAATCTAAATCAGGTCATATTTTTCCCAAATACTTAAAAAAAAATGCAGATAAATATGTATATATCCAAATTGTCAATGTTAAGCGACTATTTTTTGTAATAATTATTTCAGAAATTAGTGTGATGCATGTTTTATGTCAAATCCTAAATTGGGGTATAAGTATATTTAATATTACAATACATTCTTATTAAAATATATTTCATAAGAGTATAAATTTGACAAAGAAATTTTGGACCATTTTGTAATGAAATTTCAAGCAGTTTTTCCATGAGAAAACTGATTTTAAATACCTAACAAATATTGTCATAGTTTAAAGTACAATTGTAATAACCAAATACTTACATGTTTTTTATCTCCAATTTTCAATGAAATAATCTTCATCTTCTGCTACTGAAACTTGGTAAGGCCTGCTACTTTAAGCATCTTGTCCTGGTCTTCGCCAATGGCTCTATTTTCAGGGTCTTTGCTGTAAACATCTTCTTCATAGTATCTGAAACAAAAACAAAATTATTTTAGACAGCTGCTGGTTAACTCAAATAAAATATACATATATTCAACAGTGAGCCAAAAAAAAAAACCAAAACAGTTCAAAAATATCAAACCAAATATAAAACTTTTAATAAAGTTTGCTTATTTAAAAAATAAAACTTTTTTCAAAATATTTAGAAAGAAAAAACTGGCATTAATGGCAGCCAACATCATTGGTCAATTGCTCTTTTTGACTATATATCATTAACTATTTTCGTTTTAAATCTTTATTTTAATCAGTAATGAAGACGGTTTAATGATATAATCATTATTTTCGAAATTAATGTGTGCGTCAAATGATCACAAGTTGGTGGCTATTCAAAACAATCTGATGTTTACACTTGAACAGAAATGATTAAAATTCAACTGAATTTCAAACAATCTAAATCAGGTCATATTTTCCCCAATTACTAAATGAAAAATGCAGATGAATATGTAAATTTCCAGGGAAAAACTGATTTTAATGACCTAACAAATATGAACATAGTTTTAAGTACAATTATATTGCTTGCATATTATTGTGGATTTATTTATTTTCTTGGGCACCAATTTATTTTATATTAAGGAACAATTGTATTTTTGTGGGTACTTCATTTCGTGGTTTTGCCAAAGTCTGCATACAAAAATTAAGTCTTTACAATGACATCCATGTAACCAATTCAAATCTTTAGAACATTTAGTCAAGAAAAAAACAACATTTTACCTCTTACAACTTTAAGCCTTGAGCACATTTTATTTCCTTTAAACTTATTTTATAATAATAAAAGGAGTAATCCTGGTAAGACCCCTTTTTGGCCCCAAAATATAGCATTTTTACAAATTTGTTAAAGCGTAAACTTTTAGCTATTTATTGCAAAGAAGAAAACTTCTGTTCCATTAATATGGGCCGATTTTGACAATACAATGCACATGCATCGGGTAATAACATCAGAAATTCATGCAATATTACAGAAATCTTCACAATTTTAGCATTTGTGCTAATTTTATGGTGGTTTTTGTCTAAAATGGAAGGGGCCGCATTTGTGTTCCGTCTTAATATTTAAATATATGTTGTATTTGATGATACAGTAGACTCCACCTAATCGGATATCGGCTAAAGGAATATATCGGCTATTGTAATATTATTTCAAAACACCAAACCCTACCCTATATGTTTAATGTTAATTTTATCGTGTAATCGAATATCGGATATAAGAATATATCGGCAAATCGGATAAGAATATTCAGGTCATTTTGTTCAAAACCATGCACAATCGGATATTTTCAATGTTTTTCTGACAGGAAATGGACCCGGAAGTTACGAATTTACAATCTTGCAGACAAGAAGATTTTGTTTTTACTAAATAAAAGGAACTACTTCTTAATAAATTGTTGTCTTTAATCATTGTCTTCCTTTGTCATGTGAATTAGATGCCCTTTTACTTCAAATGGTTTGAATTTATTTATAAAATATGCAAGACTCAGTTGACAAGTTGACGTTGGCCGTTGCTGTTTGGAGAATTTTGATTAAACTCTAAATGTTCACAGAATCAGAAATATAATCTAAACTGAATGTACCTCCTTCTGAATAATTTATTGCAATATAAATATAAATCCCTTTTGACAAGAGAAATCTGACTTTTGTCAGATATATTTTTTTCACATGTGCAAAAGTAACCACATGTCATGGACGCCATTTTGGATGTTTACAAATTTGAGAGGAAGCCTCTAGAACTATGACCTAAATATAAATAGTCTTCAGAAAACGTAAACTTTATGCAATAATATTCTATCAATCATGATTATTTTCATAAATTTAAATTTGATTATTTAAAGAAATAAAATTATAACAAATACGATTTCTGTTTGGAGATTCTACACAGACATGCTTAGATCTATTTATAGCCAAATTAGTTTACCTGTGTGATAATGTAAATAATGGATATTAATTTGCTTACAAAACAAATAAAGACAAACTATGGATGGTAGATAATAATTCACATAAATATTTCAGGACATTTGATTTATTTTAATAAATAAAGGATTTAAAACTGCAAACAAATTTAATCATTTCATAATCAGCTGATAATTTTTTACACAAACATCGTGGTGATGTAACTGATAAAAATCACTCCATCAATCCTCCAGCCCTTTCACATATTAAGCAATTGTCAGGGTTAGTAACATTTCAGGATTATATCTACTCATTATTGCAGAATATTCAATGAATATACATTCATCGTCTAATTGAATATATCGGGTAATCGGATATTTTTAGCTGACATTTTGGGTATCCGATTTGCCGGAGTCTACTGTAATACATAACATATATAAAGGTTGAGACTGAACACAAATGCGGCCACTTTCATTTTAGACAAAAACCTTCTGAAAAGTGACATTTTATGGATTATTTGATAGATTTTTGGTATTTAAGCCTCTATTTGAGCATCTTTAATGACCAAATCAGTCCAAATCTTTTACATACACTAATTGATTGACTGAAGTAGACACTTGCGTGTTTAAAAAATGTCAAAAATCTTTCATTAGATGTACTTCGAATATTAGGCCAAAACGAGCCCTTACCAGACCTTCTCCTTTGTTTAAATAGAGGAATTATATACCTACTTGTATATTAGAAATATTATACCACCAAGTCTTACTCCCCATTCATGAAAACATTGGCACTAATATAACCTAAAAAGGAATTAGAATTGACACAAATTATATATTTTACAAATCTGTTAAATTGCCAACCTAAATTTTTTTTTAAATTCTGTATTCTAATTGCATAATAGTGAGTTATCTCCCACTGAAAGAAACATTCTTGCTGTTTATTGTACTAGTCTCCCCTTGAAGGATAAAATTCTATCTCAGGATTTACTTTTCACGTTATAAAATTTTATTTGTGTACCTGGAAAACATTTGTCAAACTGATAAATTATCTATTTCTGTGTTGTAAATGTGCAAAATAAGAAAAATGTGTGTTGCCTTATGTACTTTATCACATTTTTCTAGATAATGTGCAGAAATTGGTTGGCTTAAATATACTTACGTTATTTCTTTCATGTCATGGCCTCAGACTTGGGTGAAGATTAATGTAATAATTAATCTTCCTTGGAGCTTCAATATAGAAAGAAAAAACTGGCATTAATGGCAGCGAACATCATTGGTCAATTGCCCTTTTAGACTATATATCATTCATTATTTTCATTTTAAATAGTAATGAAGACAGTTAAATGATATAATAATTATTTCCAAAATTAATGTGTGCTTCGAATTATCAGAAAATGGTAGATAAGTTAACCAAAACAATCTGATGTGTACATTTTGAACAGAAATGATTAAAAATTAACTGAATTTCAAACAATCTAAATCAGGTCATATTTTTCCCAAATACTTAAAAAAAAATGCAGATAAATATGTATATATCCAAATTGTCAATGTTAAGCGACTATTTTTTGTAATAATTATTTCAGAAATTAGTGTGATGCATGTTTTATGTCAAATCCTAAATTGGGGTATAAGTATATTTAATATTACAATACATTCTTATTAAAATATATTTCATAAGAGTATAAATTTGACAAAGAAATTTTGGACCATTTTGTAATGAAATTTCAAGCAGTTTTTCCATGAGAAAACTGATTTTAAATACCTAACAAATATTGTCATAGTTTAAAGTACAATTGTAATAACCAAATACTTACATGTTTTTTATCTCCAATTTTCAATGAAATAATCTTCATCTTCTGCTACTGAAACTTGGTAAGGCCTGCTACTTTAAGCATCTTGTCCTGGTCTTCGCCAATGGCTCTATTTTCAGGGTCTTTGCTGTAAACATCTTCTTCATAGTATCTGAAACAAAAACAAAATTATTTTAGACAGCTGCTGGTTAACTCAAATAAAATATACATATATTCAACAGTGAGCCAAAAAAAAAACCAAAACAGTTCAAAAATATCAAACCAAATATAAAACTTTTAATAAAGTTTGCTTATTTAAAAAATAAAACTTTTTTCAAAATATTTAGAAAGAAAAAACTGGCATTAATGGCAGCCAACATCATTGGTCAATTGCTCTTTTTGACTATATATCATTAACTATTTTCGTTTTAAATCTTTATTTTAATCAGTAATGAAGACGGTTTAATGATATAATCATTATTTTCGAAATTAATGTGTGCGTCAAATGATCACAAGTTGGTGGCTATTCAAAACAATCTGATGTTTACACTTGAACAGAAATGATTAAAATTCAACTGAATTTCAAACAATCTAAATCAGGTCATATTTTCCCCAATTACTAAATGAAAAATGCAGATGAATATGTAAATTTCCAGGGAAAAACTGATTTTAATGACCTAACAAATATGAACATAGTTTTAAGTACAATTATATTGCTTGCATATTATTGTGGATTTATTTATTTTCTTGGGCACCAATTTATTTTATATTAAGGAACAATTGTATTTTTGTGGGTACTTCATTTCGTGGTTTTGCCAAAGTCTGCATACAAAAATTAAGTCTTTACAATGACATCCATGTAACCAATTCAAATCTTTAGAACATTTAGTCAAGAAAAAAACAACATTTTACCTCTTACAACTTTAAGCCTTGAGCACATTTTATTTCCTTTAAACTTATTTTATAATAATAAAAGGAGTAATCCTGGTAAGACCCCTTTTTGGCCCCAAAATATAGCATTTTTACAAATTTGTTAAAGCGTAAACTTTTAGCTATTTATTGCAAAGAAGAAAACTTCTGTTCCATTAATATGGGCCGATTTTGACAATACAATGCACATGCATCGGGTAATAACATCAGAAATTCATGCAATATTACAGAAATCTTCACAATTTTAGCATTTGTGCTAATTTTATGGTGGTTTTTGTCTAAAATGGAAGGGGCCGCATTTGTGTTCCGTCTTAATATTTAAATATATGTTGTATTTGATGATAATACATAACATATATAAAGGTTGAGACTGAACACAAATGCGGCCACTTTCATTTTAGACAAAAACCTTCTGAAAAGTGACATTTTATGGATTATTTGATAGATTTTTGGTATTTAAGCCTCTATTTGAGCATCTTTAATGACCAAATCAGTCCAAATCTTTTACATACACTAATTGATTGACTGAAGTAGACACTTGCGTGTTTAAAAAATGTCAAAAATCTTTCATTAGATGTACTTCGAATATTAGGCCAAAATGAGCCCTTACCAGACCTTCTCCTTTGTTTAAATAGAGGAATTATATACCTACTTGTATATTAGAAATATTATACCACCAAGTCTTACTCCCCATTCATGAAAACATTGGCACTAATATAACCTAAAAAGGAATTAGAATTGACACAAATTATATATTTTACAAATCTGTTAAATTGCCAACCTAAATTTTTTTTTAAATTCTGTATTCTAATTGCATAATAGTGAGTTATCTCCCACTGAAAGAAACATTCTTGCTGTTTATTGTACTAGTCTCCCCTTGAAGGATAAAATTCTATCTCAGGATTTACTTTTCACGTTATAAAATTTTATTTGTGTACCTGGAAAACATTTGTCAAACTGATAAATTATCTATTTCTGTGTTGTAAATGTGCAAAATAAGAAAAATGTGTGTTGCCTTATGTACTTTATCACATTTTTCTAGATAATGTGCAGAAATTGGTTGGCTTAAATATACTTACGTTATTTCTTTCATGTCATGGCCTCAGACTTGGGTGAAGATTAATGTAATAATTAATCTTCCTTGGAGCTTCAATATAGAAAGAAAAAACTGGCATTAATGGCAGCGAACATCATTGGTCAATTGCCCTTTTAGACTATATATCATTCATTATTTTCATTTTAAATAGTAATGAAGACAGTTAAATGATATAATAATTATTTCCAAAATTAATGTGTGCTTCGAATTATCAGAAAATGGTAGACAAGTTAACCAAAACAATCTGATGTGTACATTTTGAACAGAAATGATTAAAAATTAACTGAATTTCAAACAATCTAAATCAGGTCATATTTTTCCCAAATACTTAAAAAAAAATGCAGATAAATATGTATATATCCAAATTGTCAATGTTAAGCGACTATTTTTTGTAATAATTATTTCAGAAATTAGTGTGATGCATGTTTTATGTCAAATCCTAAATTGGGGTATAAGTATATTTAATATTACAATACATTCTTATTAAAATATATTTCATAAGAGTATAAATTTGACAAAGAAATTTTGGACCATTTTGTAATGAAATTTCAAGCAGTTTTTCCAAGAGAAAACTGATTTTAAATACCTAACAAATATTATCATAGTTTAAAGTACAATTGTAATAACCAAATACTAACATGTTATTTATCTCCAATTTTCAATGAAATAATCTTCATCTTCTGCGACTGAAACTTGGTAAGGCCTGCTACTTTAAGCATCTTGTCCTGGTCTTCGTCAATGGCTCCATTTTCGGGTCTTTGCTGTAAACATCTTCTTCATAGTATCTGAAACAAAAACAAAATTATTTATAGACAGATGCTAATAAACTCAAATAAAATTTACATATATTCAATAGTGAGCAAAAAAAAAAGACAGTTCAAAAATATCAAACCAAATATAAAACTTTTAATAAAGTTTGCTTATTTAAAAAATAAAACTTTTTTCAAAATATTTAGAAAGAAAAAACTGGCATTAATGGCAGCCAACATCATTGGTCAATTGCTCTTTTTGACTATATATCATTAACTATTTTCATTTTAAATCTTTATTTTAATCAGTAATGAAGACGGTTTAATGATATAATCATTATTTTCGAAATTAATGTGTGCGTCAAATTATCACAAGTTGGTGGCTATTCAAAACAATCTGATGTATACACTTGAACAGAAATGATTAAATTTCAACCGAATTTCAAACAATCTAAATCAGGTCATATTTTCCCAATTACTTGTAGAAAAATGCAGATGAATATGTAAATTTCCAGGGAAAAACTGATTTTAATGACCTAACAAATATGAACATAGTTTTAAGTACAATTGTACAGCCAAATACTTACATGCTACTCATTTCCTATCTTCAATGAAACAATCTTCATGTTCTGTGACTGACTGGAACTTGGTAAGGCCTGCTACTGTAATAGAACTAAAATTATAATTAGACTAAAATTAAATATACTTTCCTTTAATTTTCTTTTCCTGGTCTTCGTCAATGGCTCCATTTTCGGGGTCTTTGCTGTAAACATCTTCTTCATAGCATCTGAAGCAAAAACAAAATCATTTATAGACAGATGCTGATAAACTCAAATAAAATTTACATATATTCAACAGTGAGCAAAAAAAAAAGACAGTTCTAAAATATCAAACCAAATATAAAACTTTTAATAAAGTTTGCTTATTTAAAAAATAAAACTTTTTTCAAAATATTTAGAAAGAAAAAACTGGCATTAATGGCAGCCAACATCATTGGTCAATTGCTCTTTTTGACTATATATCATTAACTATTTTCATTTTAAATCTTTATTTTAATCAGTAATGAAGACGGTTTAATGATATAATCATTATTTTCGAAATTAATGTGTGCGTCAAATTATCACAAGTTGGTGGCTATTCAAAACAATCTGATGTATACACTTGAACAGAAATGATTAAATTTCAACCGAATTTCAAACAATCTAAATCAGGTCATATTTTCCCAATTACTTGTAGAAAAATGCAGATGAATATATAAATTTCCAGGGAAAAACTGATTTTAATGACCTAACAAATATGAACATAGTTTTAAGTACAATTGTATAGCCAAATACTTACATGCTACTCATTTCCTATCTTCAATGAAACAATCTTCATGTTCTGTGACTGACTGGAACTTGGTAAGGCCTGCTACTGTAATAGAACTAAAATTATAATTAGACTAAAATTAAATATACTTTCCTTTAATTTTCTTTTCCTGGTCTTCGTCAATGGCTCCATTTTCGGGGTCTTTGCTGTAAACATCTTCTTCATAGCATCTGAAGCAAAAACAAAATTATTTATAGACAGATGCTGATAAACTCAAATAAAATTTACAAATATTCACCAGTGAGCAAAAAAAAAAGACAGTTCAAAAATATCAAACCAAATATAAAACTTTTAATAAAGTTTGCTTATTTAAAAAATAAAACTTTTTTCAAAATATTTAGAAAGAAAAAACTGGCATTAATGGCAGCCAACATCATTGGTCAATTGCTCTTTTTGACTATATATCATTAACTATTTTCATTTTAAATCTTTATTTTAATCAGTAATGAAGACGGTTTAATGATATAATCATTATTTTCGAAATTAATGTGTGCGTCAAATTATCACAAGTTGGTGGCTATTCAAAACAATCTGATGTATACACTTGAACAGAAATGATTAAATTTCAACCGAATTTCAAACAATCTAAATCAGGTCATATTTTCCCAATTACTTGTAGAAAAATGCAGATGAATATGTAAATTTCCAGGGAAAAACTGATTTTAATGACCTAACAAATATGAACATAGTTTTAAGTACAATTGTAAAGCCAAATACTTACATGCTACTCATTTCCTATCTTCAATGAAACAATCTTCATGTTCTGTGACTGACTGGAACTTGGTAAGGCCTGCTACTGTAATAGAACTAAAATTATAATTAGACTAAAATTAAATATACTTTCCTTTAATTTTCTTTTCCTGGTCTTCGTCAATGGCTCCATTTTTGGGGTCTTTGCTGTAAACATCTTCTTCATAGCATCTGAAGCAAAAACAAAATTATTTATAGACAGATGCTGATAAACTCAAATAAAATTTACATATATTCAACAGTGAGCAAAAAAAAAAGACAGTTCAAAAATATCAAACCAAATATAAAACTTTTAATAAAGTTTGCTTATTTAAAAAATAAAACTTTTTTCAAAATATTTAGAAAGAAAAAACTGGCATTAATGGCAGCCAACATCATTGTTCAATTGCTCTTTTTGACTATATATCATTAACTATTTTCATTTTAAATCTTTATTTTAATCAGTAATGAAGACGGTTTAATGATATAATCATTATTTTCGAAATTAATGTGTGCGTCAAATTATCACAAGTTGGTGGCTATTCAAAACAATCTGATGTATACACTTGAACAGAAATGATTAAATTTCAACCGAATTTCAAACAATCTAAATCAGGTCATATTTTCCCAATTACTTGTAGAAAAATGCAGATGAATATGTAAATTTCCAGGGAAAAACTGATTTTAATGACCTAACAAATATGAACATAGTTTTAAGTACAATTGTATAGCCAAATACTTACATGCTACTCATTTCCTATCTTCAATGAAACAATCTTCATGTTCTGTGACCGACTGGAACTTGGTAAGGCCTGCTACTGTAATAGAACTAAAATTATAATTAGACTAAAATTAAATATACTTTCCTTTAATTTTCTTTTCCTGGTCTTCGTCAATGGCTCCATTTTTGGGGTCTTTGCTGTAAACATCTTCTTCATAGCATCTGAAGCAAAAACAAAATTATTTATAGACAGATGCTGATAAACTCAAATAAAATTTACATATATTCAACAGTGAGCAAAAAAAAAAGACAGTTCAAAAATATCAAACCAAATATAAAACTTTTAATAAAGTTTGCTTATTTAAAAAATAAAACTTTTTTCAAAATATTTAGAAAGAAAAAACTGGCATTAATGGCAGCCAACATCATTGTTCAATTGCTCTTTTTGACTATATATCATTAACTATTTTCATTTTAAATCTTTATTTTAATCAGTAATGAAGACGGTTTAATGATATAATCATTATTTTCGAAATTAATGTGTGCGTCAAATTATCACAAGTTGGTGGCTATTCAAAACAATCTGATGTATACACTTGAACAGAAATGATTAAATTTCAACCAAATTTCAAACAATCTAAATCAGGTCATATTTTCCCAATTACTTGTAGAAAAATGCAGATGAATATGTAAATTTCCAGGGAAAAACTGATTTTAATGACCTAACAAATATGAACATAGTTTTAAGTACAATTGTATAGCCAAATACTTACATGCTACTCATTTCCTATCTTCAATGAAACAATCTTCATGTTCTGTGACCGAATGGAACTTGGTAAGGCCTGCTACTGTAATAGAACTAAAATTATAATTAGACTAAAATTAAATATACTTTCCTTTAATTTTCTTTTCCTGGTCTTCGTCAATGGCTCCATTTTTGGGGTCTTTGCTGTAAACATCTTCTTCATAGCATCTGAAGCAAAAACAAAATTATTTATAGACAGATGCTGATAAACTCAAATAAAATTTACATATATTCAACAGTGAGCAAAAAAAAAAGACAGTTCAAAAATATCAAACCAAATATAAAACTTTTAATAAAGTTTGCTTATTTAAAAAATAAAACTTTTTTCAAAATATTTAGAAAGAAAAAACTGGCATTAATGGCAGCCAACATCATTGGTCAATTGCTCTTTTTGACTATATATCATTAACTATTTTCATTTTAAATCTTTATTTTAATCAGTAATGAAGACGGTTTAATGATATAATCATTATTTTCGAAATTAATGTGTGCGTCAAATTATCACAAGTTGGTGGCTATTCAAAACAATCTGATGTATACACTTGAACAGAAATGATTAAATTTCAACCGAATTTCAAACAATCTAAATCAGGTCATATTTTCCCAATTACTTGTAGAAAAATGCAGATGAATATGTAAATTTCCAGGGAAAAACTGATTTTAATGACCTAACAAATATGAACATAGTTTTAAGTACAATTGTATAGCCAAATACTTACATGCTACTCATTTCCTATCTTCAATGAAACAATCTTCATGTTCTGTGACTGACTGGAACTTGGTAAGGCCTGCTACTGTAATAGAACTAAAATTATAATTAGACTAAAATTAAATATACTTTCCTTTAATTTTCTTTTCCTGGTCTTCGTCAATGGCTCCATTTTCGGGGTCTTTGCTGTAAACATCTTCTTCATAGCATCTGAAGCAAAAACAAAATTATTTATAGACAGATGCTGATAAACTCAAATAAAATTTACATATATTCAACAGTGAGCAAAAAAAAAAGACAGTTCAAAAATATCAAACCAAATATAAAACTTTTAATAAAGTTTGCTTATTTAAAAAATAAAACTTTTTTCAAAATATTTAGAAAGAAAAACTGGCATTAATGGCAGCCAACATCATTGGTCAATTGCTCTTTTTGACTATATATCATTAACTATTTTCATTTTAAATCTTTATTTTAATCAGTAATGAAGACGGTTTAATGATATAATCATTATTTTCGAAATTAATGTGTGCGTCAAATTATCACAAGTTGGTGGCTATTCAAAACAATCTGATGTATACACTTGAACAGAAATGATTAAATTTCAACCGAATTTCAAACAATCTAAATCAGGTCATATTTTCCCAATTACTTGTAGAAAAATGCAGATGAATATGTAAATTTCCAGGGAAAAACTGATTTTAATGACCTAACAAATATGAACATAGTTTTAAGTACAATTGTATAGCCAAATACTTACATGCTACTCATTTCCTATCTTCAATGAAACAATCTTCATGTTCTGTGACTGACTGGAACTTGGTAAGGCCTGCTACTGTAATAGAACTAAAATTATAATTAGACTAAAATTAAATATACTTTCCTTTAATTTTCTTTTCCTGGTCTTCGTCAATGGCTCCATTTTCGGGGTCTTTGTTGTAGACATCTTCTTCATAGCATCTGAAGCAAAAACAAAATTATTTATAGACAGATGCTGATAAACTCAAATAAAATTTACATATATTCAACAGTGAGCAAAAAAAAAAGACAGTTCAAAAATATCAAACCAAATATAAAACTTTTAATAAAGTTTGCTTATTTAAAAAATAAAACTTTTTTCAAAATATTTAGAAAGAAAAAACTGGCATTAATGGCAGCCAACATCATTGGTCAATTGCTCTTTTTGACTATATATCATTAACTATTTTCATTTTAAATCTTTATTTTAATCAGTAATGAAGACGGTTTAATGATATAATCATTATTTTCGAAATTAATGTGTGCGTCAAATTATCACAAGTTGGTGGCTATTCAAAACAATCTGATGTATACACTTGAACAGAAATGATTAAATTTCAACCGAATTTCAAACAATCTAAATCAGGTCATATTTTCCCAATTACTTGTAGAAAAATGCAGATGAATATGTAAATTTCCAGGGAAAAACTGATT